AAGACTGTTTAAGAGAAGGGGGGAAAAGCCTCCTTGACACAAAGCTTTTGTTATCCAGTTGATCAGCAACGTGCTTTAGATACTTGTAAGAGGGGGGAAAAAGCCCCACAACAGACATTGATTTTAGAAAATCAATAACCAACATTTAATAAAAGGAACAGAGGAAACACAAGAGAGGAGAGGGGGACATTAGGTGTAATTTTAGTGTCTACTAAATTACTCAGAGATTGGGAAGGGGAGGTCTCCTGTGTAAGGACCACCTTAAATAATGCCAGACACCAGAGTGAAAAAAAAATTAAATTAAGAGAGAGAGGAAGAGGGGGAAAGAGAGAGGGAGAGACTTAAAAAGCAGCAGCTTGAACTGAATCTTAGGGAAGCAGCTCGGAATATATTATTGTACTTGTTTTTCTGTAATACTAAGCCAAGCAAATAGATCAAAGACAGCACAAAGGGGAAAGGCAGGATAACGTAACGAACAGTTTCTGACTAAAATTCCTCTATCACTCCCCCATATGGCTCGACACCTCCACCACAACAAGCAAAAGACACACAGACGCACACACACGCGTATACACACACAAAATCTAGAGAGAGAGAGAGAGAGAGAGAGAGAGAGAGAGAGAGAGAGAGAGAGAAGCATCATTTGTCTCTAATCAAAATTCTCTCGTCTTTGTGTTTTGCTCCTTCCAGCACCTCACACTGCGCCCCCAGCCGCCCCCTCCCCGCGCCGCGCAGCTCTGGGGTAGGCCGGGGGCGCGCACAATTGTCTTCTCTAGAGGAAAGTTGCTCCAAGTGGGCCCGGGCGGTCCCCGCGAGGCGCGGGCTGGGGCTGCGGAGGCCGGGAGGCCGGGTGGTCGCTGCGTCCCCGCGCCTGCCTCGGGAGCGTCTACGCGGCCCCGCGCCGGGTGATCCGGCTGAGAGCGAGGGGAGCGAGAAGTTTCCTTTCCGAGTCTGGGCTGGCGCTTGTTCGCTTGTTTGTTTTCGGGGGTTGGTTTCTTTCTTTTTAAACTCAGTTATCCTCCGTCAGCTCCCCCACCCCCCCGGCACCCTCGCTAGTCTCCAGCCCTCTCCCCTCCCCCAGGCTCCTTCCGCGCTCTTGCCAATCACTTTTCTCTTTTATTCCCACGATTTTGTTTGGGGTAGTACCTAGGGGGTCTCTCTCTCTCTCGCTCTTCCTCTCTCTGTTTCTCTCTCTGTCCCCCCCCCGCGCCCCGTCCCTTCTTTGGCTGTCTCCAAGATGGACCTACCAAACTGTCACCACCCCCCCGCTTTAATATCCCACCTCGGATCTGCGTGTGCCCTTCGCACCCCCATCTCCTTCCTCCTTCCTGACTCAGCCTGGATAACGGGCTCCTCCAGACCATGTAGAAACTGCCGGGAAAAGTCTCGCTGCGCCCTGCGACTCCTAGTGTCCCCGGCCTGGGGGGCCAGAGCCTGCTGGAGAGGAGTCACCCATCCCCGAGCCGTCACCGACCTCGCCGGACCCCGCGCGGGGTCGGCCGAGTCCCTCCCACCCCGGGGTCTGGGCGCGCTGGGCCGGGCCCCGCTGCCCGCGGACCGTTACTTGGCGCACCGAGAGGCGGCCGGGCGACTCCGGCAAGAAACTTTCAGCCTCGCTGAGGCGCAGCCCCGGTCCCCTCTCCTACCCTCGCAGTCTCTCTGCCACCCCTGCCCCCGCCCCAGGATCCTGCGCGACCCGGCGCCCGGGCCCCCACCCTGCCCTCGCCGGACGCTGCCGAAGCCCGGCCGGAGACCAGGCGGGCCGGGCGCGAGCGGAGCGGGAGGCGGAGGCGGAGGGAGGGCGGAGGCAGGGGCTCGAGGGGGGCAGCGGGGCTGGGGGCGCGGGGCCCTTGCAGGACCCCCGCGCTCGGAGCCCCCGGGCGCCTGACGCTCACTTTGCCCAGCACTTCCCCAACTGCCCCCCGGTCCAGCCGCCTCGCGCGCCGGGCTCCGGCGCCGGCCGCGGAGGGAGGCTAGCCCTGGAGCCCTGGGCGCCGCCGCAGCCGCCGCCTCTGTTCCTTTTCCCTTTCCCCCTCCTTCTCACTGGGTCTCCAGCCGCGGAGTGGCCCGGAAAAGTTTGGTTCGGGCCGCTTCTTACCGTTTTTCCTCCTGGGATTGGCTTGTTTGCGCCTCTTGCACCGGGGGCCATCCGCCATGATCGGCTGCTTCATTGATAAGAGCGGATCAGATGGCAGTTCGCATGGACTCGGCGCCCTGCTTCGGCAGCACGCAGGCTCGATCTAGCAACCAAACACAGCGACAATGTGGGCATCGCCCGCGCCCATTGAAACGCGCGCGGGCCGCCCAGGGGAGCCGGGCCAGGGCCCCGGCGAGCACCCATCCGCGCCCCCCAACGCCAAAGCGAAACTTCGGCGGCCCCCTCCCCGCCCCCCACCCCCAGCCTTGGCCCCGAGGCGCTTTGTGTTTGTTACTGTTTGGTGTGTAGCACCCGCGAGGGGATCAGAGAGACAAGAATTACATCTTCAAAATGAGTCATAACTCCTGACCGTATGAGGGAATGCACACGGCGGTACAGTAAGACCGCTTGACTCAGGGCTAGGCGGACCCTTTCCTCCGAAAAGTCCTCAGCCCCCGGCTCGGGAACTTGGGGTGAGGCGAGGTTTTCTTTTCGCTCTCATCTTTTCTCATCCCCCCACCCCCCATTTCCCAGAGGAAACAAACAAACAAACAAGGCGAAACAGCCCCCTGGATGAAGCACACTCGGGCAAATTGATAATAGTAATTATAGGAAGCCCACTCGCCCAGCGCCCCCTCCCCTCCCCTTTCGGAGTTTATCGAGGCACTGTCTCTTCCCCCACCCCCGCCCCCAAATTAAGATTTCCCGTTTTACGCCGCAATAAGAAATATAATTATAAGCCTCTTTGGACACTGTCCCTTACCCCCCACCCCCGCCACTTTGACAATATTTACTTAAGTATTTTACCCCACCTCACTCACACACATGCTCCCCCACACTGGTTCCCTTAAATAGTTCCAGTAGAAAAAAAATTATTTCCCTCAAGAAAGGAAAGAGAAAGTCCAACCGCTACGGCAATACTTTTAAGCTCTACTAAATGATCGTATCCTTTCTGGCTTCGAAACTTTTGTACCTAAAAATCGAGAGAGGCGCTGCATTTTTTCAGCTGAAACTGTCAAAACTTGGAGAAGGGGAAACTCGGAGGCAGGCAGGAGAGGAGGAGAATCCTGAAAACTCGGTGGAGGTAGGGAAGATGCTGTGCCTCGAGGATTAGTTTAAACAGGGGGCTATAAAAGATGTAACAGATGCAAACTGTAACACAAGGGCCATTAACCCTTTCTCTGCCGGGCATACTCAGTCCCCACGCCCCGCACCTATTGTCTCCTGTGCTCGAAGCTTTGCAGAAAACCTGGAAAGTGAGTATCAGTTTCCACACGTTTGCTGAGAGGGGTGAAGGGACGGGGGCAGAGAGAAAGGGAAGTGGATATTTTAGAAAGCACCTTAAATTTACCTAGGCATACATAATAGGAGACTTTTAATTTAAGTTTGACATATTTTATCATTTCTTTTCTTGTCCTATTGATTTGAAATTGTTGGGGGAAATCCTGAAATAAAGAAATGGTCACACAAGTGTCTGGGATGAAACAGCTGGCCTGTCTGTATTCACCCTGAGACACATGATTGCATATAAATACATGTTTAATAAAGAAAGTTGCTAGTTTTATGAGCATGTGTGTGTGAGAGAGAGACAGGACATTTGTGCTGTAAACTTTATCTTTGCCTGTTACTCCTAAGTCTGGAGTTAGTAATCTTACCTTCATCATTACAGGGGGAGCATGTAAAATATATCAGTAGGTGGGAGATAAACACATTCATGTTAGCCGGGCTCATCACTGTTCCTGGGAACTCCTGCTATCTCTCTCTCGACTTTTCAGTGCCAAAGTATGGAATGGGATATATGTGTGTATGTGTCTTCTATTAAATCCAGGTTTATATCACTTTGCCATTTAAAATACAATTTTAAAAGTTATCCTAATTTAATACCCTGATATCCTGACAGCAGTTTTCTTCCCAGCTGTAGTGCCCCCCCCCCACTTTGGTGAACGACTCAAGTTCCATGAGGACTTTCACTTCTTTATTTATAATCACAGAAGTGAGGTGTTACTTCACACACATACACACACAAAGAATGAAATAAAGAAATGAAACTCGCTAAGCAGACAAAAACAGACAACTTTCTGCTTAGAAAACAGCCTTCTCGGTGGGAGAGGATGAACTGCCATGTCTAAGAGAAAGAATTGCCCCCGAATTTTTAGGTCTGTAACTGACCAAGTTTTGTAATTATTAACAGGTATTTGCCAGGTCCTAATTGCTGAATATAATGAATTGGAACTAGATGCGAAAATAGAGCAGGACCTCTCCCCTTGATGAGTTTTTATTCCAGCCATATAATTCTCAATAAAACTTTTCCTAGGCTGGGTAGCAAAGAGCACCTTTGGTTACCTGAATGGACAGGTACAGGGGAAATTATTTGGGGGAGGGAAAAAGGAGAGAAAAGCAAGGAGAGAGAGAGTGTGTGTAAGAGAAAGCGAAGAAGCCACTCTTGGGAAAAGCTTTCCATAAAGGAGCTAAACCCACCTGAAATTCCTACCCACGGACACCCCTTCTCACTTCAAACTCACATCCTCACTCAAAATGAGAAAATTAGAAAAGGAGGATGGAGGACGAGCACACCAAAAAGGGATAAAATGAGAGAAAAGGGGAGGAAAAAAAACCTACCTGCGAAGTCTTGTTTGTAGTTTTGGCCAGAAATGGTGAGAAGAAAAAGCATGAAGAAGCCGCGAAGTGTGGGGGAGAAAAAGGTGGAAGCGAAGAAACAGCTCCCGGAGCAAACTGTACAAAAACCTCGCCAAGAGTGTCGGGAGGCAGGACCGTTATTCCTGCGGAGCAGGTTAGAACTGATCTCTTTCGGCCACTCCAGGAAACACAAACCTGGGGACGGACTGACGTGTTACGCCTCTTCTAATGACATTTTTTTCTTTTTCTTTTCTGTAGGAGAGAGACGAGAGACCCTGAAACACGCGCCACCTATCTTTGTGGGGAGGGATAATTGAAGCGCCCTGAGCGTGAGCATCATGTGAAAACGTGATCGCCAAGTTTCTCTCTGGGAAAGGATCTGGGATAGATTATACCTTGAAGTCTCCGCAAACGCTTTAGTGGAAGAAATGAAATTCCACCTCCCTCCCTTCCTCTCTCCCTCCCTTTCGCCTTCGCCTCCCTCCCCCCCTCCCCCCCCCCCCCCCCCCCCCCCCGCCCGTCAAGCCTTTGGCATCATTATCCTCATCACTAAATCCTACAGAGTACAGGGCGGAAAACCGTGCACACCATTCACAGAACTGGAGAACTCTATGGGGCGAAAGTTAAAGGGAAAGATCCCGGGTCCTCAAATCTCAAATCCAGATCGTCTCTTCTTGTACAGATATCTCTAATGATCAGATTTGAGATGCACATCAAATTGTGTGGATATCTCAGCACAGCTTCTGGAACAAAATTATCTGCCCTTTCTCTTATTATTATTATTTTTTTCTTTTTAGGTACCAGAGCCAGAAAAAAAAAATGCATGAGAGCTGCATCTTAGGGCATGTGTGTTAGGGTGTGTGTGTGATGAATTTTTGGATTGGATCCTAATATTAAAAAGTAGTTTGGCATTTTAATAAAGGGTCTCTAAGTAAATTAACATAGAACACTCCCGATCTCTGAATCTCTCTACATCTCAGGGAGACCTCACTATAAAGTGAGGGAGAGAGTGTAAGGAGGCAGGAGGAGAAAAGAAAAAGGCCACAGAGAAACTTAGCAGGGAAGGAAGAGAATGATATTAAACGGCATGGGGTCTAAGTTTTGGAGTATATATTTTTTGATATTACAATTAAAGTAAAATTAAAAAGAAAAGACTCCACCTTTGCTCTGAAGGGATTGGTTATGCAAATATGGAAGGGATTTCCTGGAGAATACAGCTTTCTACTGTATGGTTAATTAAATAATCACTCAAAAGCTTCCAACGTGACGCTTCTGTCGTAATCCAATCAGGTTACATAGGTCCTAAACAAGAAAGATATTTTCCACATCTGGAAGTCAGCAATTTAGCAAGTACTGCACATTATTAACCAATTCAGAGCCCACTTCCCAGGGGAATTTTTTTGAAGTTTAAGTGTTCTTAACCAATGCTCTGCTGTTTTGTTAATCAAAAAGCTGGTTTACACTGCACATAATTGGAACTAATATAGAAGTAAATAAAGACAGCCAAATTTGAGGATGCTGAGCACAGGCATTTATCGGAAAAGGAAGAAATCTCCTATCCTCGGATGGTTCAGGCTCAATTTCTTAAAGAACTGTAAGACTTTTTTTTTTTTCCTCCCTAAAGAGTGAAAGTGCTTGAGAACCTCAGAGCACAAATAAACTTCTAGTCTCACAGCATTTAGGATCCTTTGGAAAGGTAAAGGTGGAAGAGGTGTGAAGACCAGAGAGGTGCCTCACACCAATTTTTAAGCTTTAATATTGTTAAATATGTTACACCCTCCTGTTTCCAGTCTGATGAAATCTGAAACAAATAATACCCTGATCCAACACTATATTAAGATAAACTGCTTTGAACTATGCTTTGAATGTGTGCCTAAAGCAAGACTTTGAATGCAAGAGTCACTGGCAATTGCACTCAAAGGAGGGACAAACCACCACATGGGTTGCCACATCCACATTCCCAGAGGTACACGTCTTTGTATTTTGTATGTTTTTTGGGGGGGTGGGGTGGGAGGGGGGTGGTTAATAGCTACCTAGCACGACCACAGCTAGATCTTGTTCTAGAATGCAAGAAAAGATTTTCACAGTTGGTTACAGACTCACCTCTTTCCTAATTTAAATATTTATTATAATGAACATAGCAGCTGGGTAAATTAACTCTCTCCCCCCACCCCATCACAGATAGAGTGTCTATAGAAGAAAGGCATTCAGGATCTTCAGCTTAAAATTTTTGATAAATAAAATCAAATATTTTCAACATGGGTCAGATACATTCTGAATTTTATATTTTACATTTCTTTCACTATTATATAGCTATACTAAATATATGTGTGACTTATCAAGTTCCTCTTCTAAGATTTAGCACCACTGTTCATGTCCATTTTTCTTCTCCTTTTTTTCTCTTTTTTAATTTAAAAAATTGGAGTCCAGCTTTCTCTAGAAGTTTGCTTTATAGCCACTCCTCTTCCACTCCTAAGGAAGAAGGAGCCCATTGCATAGAGTGATTCCAGGCAATACTCTTCAGGCATCCAGGTAGCCATTGGAGGCTTACAGCCCAGACGCACACAAGCATAACCTCCGGTCAAAGGATCTAATCGAATAGCTAACAAAACACTTGTCTTTATTATGTATATTAAATGTCAGGTTACTTAGGATCTGACTTAAAAAAAAAAGACCCTTAAGTATTTCCACTAAAAACACCTAATCATCTGATTACCCTGGACTCAGTAATCGTTCAAGTGGCAGCAGACAGTCCTCAACATTTAGCACTGGGAGTTCCGACTGGCTAAATGTTGTATTTGGTTTGGGGTAAAAAAGCAACCTTCCAAGTTCCCATAAAGGTGGATGTTTGGATGTTGGCACGGGAAGGGTCTCTCAGAGGGGTGAACGCGCGGCTAGGTTGCCCCTCGTTCCTGACTGGCACGCCCCTCCCCAGGCATTTGGCCGAGAGAGTTCCCAACGTGGCAGAGGTGATGGGGTCCGGAGGAAGCCGGAATATAAATTTGTTCCGAACATTATCTCAGTCCGAGGGCCAGGTCCGGGGACAATGGGGATCGTGGGATCAGGGGGATGCAGGAGCGCAGGACGCAGAGAAAAGTCGAGAGAGAACTGGGGGCTGCTGGCTTTCGGCTCCTCACACAGCAAAATAAGTCCTGCAAATGAACCGCTCCTTCTGTCTGTCTTCCCTATTAATAATCCACTTCGAGATTAGCGTAGACGAAAGAGATTAAAACAACAGATACACGGAAATGTGAAATAATATTGCATTCAACATTGAAAGGGGAAAAATAATTGTTTAGGGTTTCCATGGGCAAAACAAACTGCCTCCCTCAGGACTCCCTTCACCCAGGCAGGGTGAGAAGGATGCACTTTTGTTTTCCAATTCCCTCCAGCCAAGACCTGATGCCTGTCCCCCCATTCACCTCTCAGTCTGTCAATTTCCTCAACTTTCACAGCCGCTCCCCCCTCCCCCCGCTCAGCTTGGCGGCCCAGATGCCCGAAGAGATACAATGTTTCTGCCCTTGAACACACAGGCTGTAGCAGGAATTCGAATTTGGCCATAGTTAATGATTTTTTTTTTTTTTAAAGCAAATTCTGTTTATTTTGTACCATGTGGAGAAAATAAAAAAAGGAACCTATTCTCGTTTTGAAATGGAACTGATCTTTCATCTGGAGGAATTATTCGACCTTGTGTTGTGACTCAGGAGGTGGGCAACTTCTTTTGGAGTTCCAAGCAAAGGGTGATAAAAGGGACCCTGGATTGGGTGTGTGTGGAGGGGGTGGGGGGCGGCAGGGGTCCAAGCCAAGCCAAACGGTTTTCTCACGTGCAGGCTCGCAATCCAATCCATTCGGAGTTGAGCCTAGGATAGGAGGGGAAAGTCTATTAAAAAAAAAAAAAAAATCAGGAGCATCTCTCTGAGAAGCCCTTTCAAACAAAACCAAAACAGGACCAGAGAAGCTCAGACCGTCCCTAACATCCCTGCTGCGAGACCCGCAGGCTGTGGAATCTCGCACGTCACCTGGCCCCAGCGGGGCGGCCAGCTGAGGGGTTGATTTTATTTTATTTTTTTGAAGTAAAGGCTGAATCTCGGCTTCAGGGCTTTTGCCAACGTCTCCACTGACAGGAACCAGCAAACTTCAGGACCCAAATGAGCATCTTAATTTATTGATGCTAAACAGGTCTGCTTGTTGTCCCCAATTTTCCGCGCGCTCTGCCCCCACCCCCCCCACCCCGCCCCAACCCCCGCCGCCAGCTTCGGTCCCTGCATTTGATCTCCAGGAAAGGCCCCGGTACACTGGCGGAGGAGCGCGGGGTGGGGGGGGGGTCGGCCCCCTCCCACCCAACCGCCCTCCCCCAGACCTGTCCCCGCCCGGGAGCCCGCGACCCCCGCCCGCCGCCCGGTCAGCTGACCTGGCTCGCTCGCTTGCTCCCCGCCCGCCGCCCTGTTTCCGGTCCCCGGGGTCCGCTAACCGCGCTCCGAGCGGGAGCAGCCGCGGCCGGGAGGTGATGCTGGGGGCTGATTACCATGAGAAAGGCTGTGCCTGGAAAAGCCTCCTCCACGCGACTGTCAATCTCACTAAGGGGGGGGACGGAAAGGGGCCCTGTAGGAGTCACCAGAAAACTTGGAGTAAGTTGGATGCGACGCAGGCCCGAGGAGGTGGCTTTCGCCACAACTTGGAAGGCTGGGGCGTTGAGGGCGCGGACGCCAGCAGCCTCACCAGGGAACTGAGAACCAAAAATCACCCTACTGCTTTTCCTCTCTCTGGCCCTCCTTTCAGCCCTCCCTGCTCTTTATCCTTATTATCTTGAAATTCTTTCCTAGTTGCATTTCCTACGTTCTCCTTTCTATCTGATACCTCACTTTTGCAATTTCTTATTTTCTTTCTTAACATCCCCTCTTCTCCCTCGCTGTGATTCTTTTTGTGCCTCTTTTATGTGTCCAGATTTATCATTTCGTTTTGAAAACACAACGTTTAATGTGTAATTAATCTACCAGCAGGAGGGCAGGGACACCCTGACTAAAATAACTCCCCGGGTCTCAGAGACGACAAGTTCACCAGGTGTCAGTGAAGAGTAAAATAATAATGATAAAAATAAAATAAATCATATTGCAGTGACCATAATGGTTTATTCTTCTATATTATCACATCAGCTCAGACTGATGATTTTAAAAGACAAGATACAATCTTCCTGGAAAAAAACTAAATAATACTTGGCATAGGGGCATTCTTTAGAATTAAGGCAATGTGAAAAATTTTGTTTACAGCCATATTTTAGTAATGCTTAGCTTGCTAACAGACTTCAGATATTACAATAGGTAATTTTACAAAACTTAAACTTTTCTTCTAATGACTATTTGGAAAGGGTAAAGGAATTCCCAAAACACTCCCCATGAACCCCAACAAAGACTGATCGATTCAGAGAGAAACATCATCATGTCAGGTAGTTTGCACATTGCTAAGCAAATTCACAACTTGGGTTGTTGGGTTGTTTTCTTGGCTAGGCTGGGCTGCTGTCCATTACCTAGCAGGTGAGTGAGCATGAGGCCACATATGTCATAAACATAACTGTTTTTGTTTGGTTTTGTTTTCTTTGTTATGATTTTTTGCTCTCCCCTTCACTTTGGGCATATTTGTTGTTCTCATTAAAATTCAGAGTTTGCGCTTGTTTACAATTTGTTTACTTTGTTGAATTTTAAAAACTTGTTAGAAGTCAATTGAACATGTATATTTAGCCTTTTTTAGGCCAAGAAAAATAAAGATGCATTAGAAAGATGCCTTTTCTGCTTCATAATTATTAATTGACATTTTGTGATGAATAATTAATCATTTGAATAATTTTGGTATCTCTGATCTGAACACATATTTGCATATCTAATGCTTGATTTTAAATGTGTTTTTTTTTAAATTCATTCTCTCAGGATGAAGAAACAAAGTCACATTTTAATG